TCTCAAACTGAATATATAAACTATTTACTGCAGAAACATGGTATGTTTGATTCTAAATGTGTAAAAACACCAATCGTAAGAGGTGAGGATAGGAGTTTTAATTGTTCAAACGAAATGGTTAACCAAACACAATATCAAGAATTAATAGGGGAACTTTTATATCTCTCGAACAGAACACGACCAGACTTAGCATTTGTCATGAGCTACTTATCTCAATTTAATCATAAACCTGAGAAACGACATTTTAATTTAGCTAAAAGAGTGTTAAAATATCTCAATGGTACAAAGGATAAAAAATTATTTTTTAGTAACAAATTAGGACTTTTGAATGCTCATGCCGATGCAAGCTGGGGAAATGCTGAAAATGGGAAACCATTTTCAGGAGAAATTGTAATGTTAGGCGATTCTTTAATTTTATGGAAGAGCAATAAACAAAAAACAGTTGCTCTATCTACTTGTGAAACGGAACTTGTTTCTTTAGGTAGTGTCTGTACAAAACTAATGTGGATATTAAATTTATTGGAAGAATTGCATTGTTCTATATTTGTAAAGAAACCTGTGACCATTTCGTCTGACAATCAATCAGCAATTGATTGGTTGAATAGTGCAAAATCATCTTCTAGAACGAGACATATAAATTTGAAACTTCATTACGTAAAGGATATAATTGGCAAAATTATTAAAGTAGAGTATGTGCAAACAGACGAAATGATCGCAGATTTCCTAACTAAAGCTGTAACTTTTGACAAGCTCACTTGGACTGTGTCACAAATAAATTTAATTGATTAATTGTTAATAAGTTTAAGTATGAGAAATTGGTATATCTATGTTTTATATTTTGAGGAAAAATGTGTATTTATTCGCAGGGGGAGTGTTGTTAATATGCAAATAAAATCTAATTTTTCCTCTCCCTCTCAAATAAGTTGCGCGAGTTGCGTGATGTAATTCAACGACTTCCCGATAGGGGAAATAGATATATATTTGTTGAAGAAGCTGACTAGTTGTTGGTTGATTCAGATGTGTAGCACTGTGTGTGCGAACTATTGTTTCCTCATATTATGTTTTAATAAATACTTTATTTGCCGGCATTAGCCTCTGTGTTATTCAACCAAACAACAGTAACCCTAGATTGAATTGAGTTAGCAAGTTTTATATATTATTGAATTGATATTTAATAATCGTAGTGGTAGTTACGCCACAATTTATCTTATAGTCAGTAATTGTGCATGTGTAAGTAAATTAATAGATTTTCCCCCTTGGGAATGTGAATAAGACATTGTCATCTTCACGAATCTTGCTATTTAGTTACTGTCAATGAATCAAGGTTTCTTGTTTCACGAAGGACAGTTAATACTTAAGTAAAACAACCTTACAAAACAAAAGCAATTTCACTGATGCTATGTCAAATTTTGTGATGGCTTTAAGAACTTTTCATACTGTTCCTGCAACCGTTATTACTGTAGAACGTTCATTTTTAAAACTAAAAAAAAACATATTTGAGGTCAACGATGACTAATGCTCGCCTTTCACATTTGGCACTCATTTCTATTAAGAATGATCTATCAACTTCTTTGGATTTTTCTGTTTTAATAGACAATTTTGCTGAACACAAAGCTAGAAAAATTGCATTATAATTTTTTCCTGATCTTTGCTAAATCTTCAAGATGTTTTTTCTATTCCTGAGATATATTATTTACACGAATTATTTTTAATTTATATTTCTGAATCCGTCGAATTTAATTTCAGTCAATGATCCATTATACCAGAATTGAAATTTTTAAAGTAAAAATATGAATCCAACTTTGATGTCATAGAACTTAATCACAATAAAAATTTCAATTATTGCCCATTTGTGACTGTGTGGAAAGCAATCCATAAGAACTGTCACCGATAATGTCAAGAAAAATAAAAAGCAGGGTTGGCATGATTAAAAAACATTTTACTTAAATAAATCATTGGTTTATATGAATCATTATGACTTTTTTAAATCATAGATTTATGCAGAAAATATTATTTATACAGTACTGCATTATCTATTATGCATATACTTAGGGGTGTGATAGTAAATCACTGATATCAGCTCCAATTCTACCCATTTAATTTTCTACATATTTATAATTTAATAAATAATTTTAAATGTTATTAAATATGTTAAAAAGTTAATGTATCTATGTGTAAGTAAAGAATAAAGACTTGTTCTGCAAAGAATAATTTAAAAGTACTTTCTGATCTAAATTAATTTACTTTTCATTTGACAAATTGATTCTCTATCTTTACAATTCACTACGGTTTTGAATTTGATAGAAAAAAGAAACTGACTTCATTTATTCAGTAATTAGTTTGCCATAATAATATTAACATTATTATTAGTGGTTTAAAAAATTTAGTTGCAGTTTTGTTGTTAAATACTAAGTATTATTTATACATTTATCAGTGTTTTGGTTGTTAAACGAGAGAAGAATTTTTTTTTTAAAAAAAATGACTGAAATAAAAAAACCAATGCTATATATATGCCAAAACCAATTCCAATACATATATTTTTTAAATAAAACATGATTTTAATCAACTATGATAAAATGCCTCAATGTTTCGCCCAGGACAGCAAAAGCCCTAAGTATGTCCAGTACTGTTTGTAGTAAAGCAAATTGATTGAAAGATTGAGTTTTTCTCATGGTCTTCTTCTTTTCAAACTTGCGTTAAAAAGGTGATACAGAAAAATAATTTAGACTTATTTTTACAATTTTAATCATAACAGATAAATGAAAAGAAGCTAATGAACAAACTGACACAAAATAAATAAACAAAGATGATCCTGTTATCTTTAGCTGCCATTAGCATAAGATTAAAAAAAAGTTATAATGCCGTTTAACTGTAAATTATTTATTAATCATTTACTTAATACTATTTAACAGTAATGTTTATTTATCATCTTTCATTCTCTTTCACTGATTACAATTAAGTTACTATTAAAATTTAAGACTTAATATGTTATAAAGCAATCACATAACATTACTTATGATATAATAAAAATATTTACATACTGTTTTACAATTATTAAACAGTAAATACGTAATATTTACTTACTATTACACTAAATTTATAATAAATTTCATTTGTTCAGACAACATGTTGAATTAAAATAGTGAACTCAAAATAAAGTACTGAGTGTGATGCCATAATAGGCATTACATATTTCTTAGCTTTTAAAACTTCTTTAATTTCATGAAAAAACTTTTTTAATTTTAATCTAATTTCATCTTAATCTAATTTTAATCAATTTAAACCAATTGATTAATTTTAATTACATTTCATAAAAGCAATTTTATCTTAATCTAATTTTAATCAATTTAAACCAATTAGTTAATTTTAATTACATTTCATAAAAGCAAATATATATATTTTATTCTCTTTTTAACAATCAATGTAGCGGCTAACTTTTTAATTGAATAAAAATACAAAACTAATTACTTCACTGTTGCAACTAAATCTAACATCAAAATCAATTTATAACTCTTTATTCCGAAACTAACTCTTATAACGAAAATTTTTCAGTTACAGGGTTATGTGAATCTTCTCAGGGTTATGCGAATCAGTCTTTTTGGCGACTATTTATTCAAAAGCCAAATTATTTTAAAATTTAATATTAACTAAGGGGTGTTGGCTTTGTTTTTGGCTAGTTTATCTTAAAACAAATCGCCAACCATGGATCTCCTCCCATGCTCCAAACTGTCCGTTGGGAACAATTCACTATACATTTTAATTTTGAATTTAACATAATATATTTTATTGAATATAGAGACTTATTCTCACATTGCATATTTTGCTTTAAAACACCAAGAAATATATACAACAAATTGTCATTCCTTAAAATGCTCGAATTCACATATTGACCATAAGCAGGGCCTGCGCTAAGCATTAACCACCTCGCCAAATGCAAAAAATCGCAAATATGGTTTATGGTTAAAATAGTGTTTTGGCAAAAGAGTTTTTCCACTGGAAAGAAAAATATATATTTAACTCGACCCTTAAAATTTTTCTAAATAAACCAGTATTTTTTATTCAATTACAATAATTTTAGGTAAATGCGCCACACAGTCAATTGGAATTGGGTCCAAATAATATAAGCCTGAAACAAACTACCGTAAAATATTTTTCTATGGGAAAAAAATTAATCATAATTTTTTTTTTAAGATTTAGTGAAGACTTTCGATATTTGGCTAATATTTTGAAATCAATAGCCTGGGCCCAGCATAAGATGTACATTATTGTTTTATTTAATAATTTAAAATCAATTTGTATAATGAGTTCCATAATTTAAAAATATTTCTTAATTTTACATTTACAAGCATTAAAAAATTGGTTTCCAACTTTTACACAACTTATAAAAATTGTAGTACTATAAGTTAAATACTATTAGACATTAACAAAAATTAGTAAAACTGTAACTTGATGAACTCTTATTTTGCACCAGAACAAAAGTTTAAAAATATATACATATGTAGAAAAAATATGTCCTTTATTAAACCACTTATTTTAATTGCAATATTTTTCTTACATTCATACAATAAAAAAAAGAAGTTTAAAATGACATATACCTTTTTTTAAGTAGATTTTTGTTTCTTTCCGACTTTTGTGCTTTAAAGTCTGTTTCAATTTGTAACTCTTTTTTCTTTCATAATAAGCTAGTAAAGAAAAAAATTAAATTAAAATAACTTATTTGCGTAACCTAACACTATATTATGAGTAAAATATTTCAAAACAATTTTAAATGATAATAAAAAAAAACTATTATTATTTAAAGTTTGGACAAAGGATGTGATTCAGCAGTTGAAAAAGAAAATACATGGTAATTTTCATGCATCCAACAGGATTACTTTTTAACTCCAACTACAATGATTCATGTACTATAAACCAATATATGTTGCAATTTGTCTCTTTAATTCAAGTAATACTTTCATGTAAAAGAAACAGTTTCTTACCATGTATTACGATAAATTGTGCTTGAGGGATAAATTTTTCTACAAATTGACATTTGAATTGCAATTAAAGGCATGAACTATTTCTAAGCTTACACTGAGGATAAGTTAATTTTCCGTAAAAAAAAGATGTCCAAATTTAGGACAGCAAGTTATAAAAATTAAAAAGTATCATAAGGTAAGGAAAAAGTAGGAATGTTAGAAAAATTTGAATAGTATGTGATGTTATGCCATAAATAAAATCCTTTGAAATAAAGGTGCATATATTTTCTAGATTACTTGTTACCAAAACTAGACTGAACCATCAGGTCTGAAAAATTCATTCAGAGTAGAGTTAATTATGATAAACTCATTTTCAATATCTTTTAAATACTCGGCTGCACCATCAGGTCCGAAAAATTCATTCAGAGTAGAGTTAATTATGATAAACTCATTTTCAATATCTTATAAATACTCGGCTGCACCATCAGGTCTGAAAAATTCATTCAGAGTAGAGTTACTTATGATAAACTCATTTTCAATATCTTATAAATACTCGGCTACACCATCAGGTCTGAAAAATTCATTCAGTGTAGGGTTAATTATGATAAACTCATTTTTAATATCTTATAAATACTAGACTGTACCATCAGGGCTGAAAAATTCATTCAGTGTAGAGTTAATTATGATAAACTCATTTTTAATATCTTATAAATAATAGACTGTACCATCAGGTCTGAAAAATTCATTCAGAATAGGGTTAGCTATGTTAAACTCATTTTCATGTCTTATAAATGGAATTTAAAAGTGCATAATCTAAACAAAAGTGTACATATTACATAAGTTTCATTAATATGAGCAAATATTCATGAATTAAATTAAGCATTTGGTAAAAATAATTTATACATGTAAAAAATTGTCTTAATTATTTGTATGAATAGTTAAGTTTCCTTTATGTACCTTATTAAAAAATATTCCTTTAAAATTGGGTACAGGACTTGAAATGAACAGTCTGTTGGTCTGAAATCACTAAAATTTGACTCCGACCACTGTAAAATAAATTATGATTGGTCTCCTTGACCAGTAATTGATGTAAAAGTATTTGATTGTAATTGATGTAATTGAGTAATTGATGTAATTGATGTTTTTTTATTTTTTTATTAATTTCCAATGGCTGATGAAAAAGTTTAAAAAAATCTAGGCAGACATAGCTGCAAACATCAGAAATAAGCACAAGAAAACTGTGCCTAATGAGTTATTTTGCCTCCCAGTACCTTGACTCCTGTGTAGAACCACAATATGCTTCACAAGGAAGAAGGTGGTACCTGTCCATTATTTTTTCAGAATTACAAAGTGAACTAGTAGGATCGGTTGAAATTCGTTGGTCTGAAACCACTAAAGTTTGACTCAAATCACCCTAAAATAAATTATCACTGGTCTCCTAAACCAACAATTGGTGTAAAGGAATACATTTTTTAAAATTATTTATCTTCAAAATCTGGGGAAAATGTTACAAAGAGTTAAAAATATATATAAAAACATAGTTTCAAGCATTAAAGCTAAGAACAAGAAGACCGAAGACATTGTCTGATGAGCGATCTTGCCACCCAATACCTCAAAACCTGTGTACAACCACAAATTGCCCCACAATGCAATTTGTGGTTGTACACAGGTGTTGCCCGGTGGTTCCTGTCCAATACTTCTTCAGAATTACAAAGTGAAGAAGTAGAAAGGCATATGCAGTGCAGATTAGCAACATGTAAAGGGATGGTAAGCTGTTTTTTTTTCCTTTTGTAGCAAAATAGCATGATCCATCAAAATTGTGAATATTTTACATTCTCTGTATCACAGTCTTTTCTTTCAACTCTTTTTATTAACTTCTTTAAAAAAAAATTATAATAGAGACACGCAAATAAACTAGTAAAAATGTATACGAACTTGCAATATTTTTTAGTTACTGATGTTTTGGAGCAGCGACTAAATTCTCTTAATTTCTATCCTGAGGTGGGCGTTAGAACATTTAATTAATCATTAATCTGTGAATTCTGATTTCTCTTCAACTGATTCCAGTCGAAAATTAAATTACAGGGAATGTTTCCTAGTCAGAAAAGTATGTTTTGCGCTTGATTTGAAAATTTAAATGATAGGAATCATGAATTAGAATATTGAAAGCATGCTGTTAATAGCAATTAAAATTACATATAAGTGCTCGAAATTTAAATTTAGCTCAAACATTATCTAGGTTAGGCTCACTATAAATAGACATCTTATTTATTTATTTCTTTGCTTTAATTATTTTAAAAACAGAATTTATTTTCCGAAAATAATAATGAATACACTACAGAATAATTTCAAAGAAATACAAAGTATTCAGATAATGGATGGATTTTAAAATTTGTCAATAATTTTGTTCATAAAATAAATTTGTGCATAATATAATAAAAAATTGGAAAATAAGAGCAAATTCTGAAAAAAAAGGCATTATTTCCTATACTTTTTTTTGTAACTTCTTTTAGTAGTAAAGAAGGTTGATCCTGAGCTTCAGGGTCTTTTCTCTGTCTTCCTCTTTTGAAAGGTGCTGTGAAAAGTGACACAGAAGAATAATTTGGAATTATTTGTACAATTTTAATAATAATAGATTAATGAAAAGTAGATAATGAACATAAAAACAAATCTCTTTACATATAGCAAAAAAAAAAAAAAAAATGTCNAATGTCAGCAAAAGAATTTTAGCAAAAAAAAAAAGTCCTCGTTTGTTTAAGGTGTTGGCAAAAAAGAACTGAAATATTAAGAAAGGAAGTAGTAATAAGTAAGAATATTTAAATATATTCCTCAATGAAAATTCTTTTTTTTGTCTTGCAATACTTCATATCTTGCAATCTTCTTCTCTTGCAATATACAAGTTGGGTTGGATTAAATGTATAGTTGAATGGAAGAAAGCCAAACTCACATACAGTGAAACCTGCCAAGTTGACCACCCTTGTAAGTTGGACACCTGCATAAGTTGACCTCAATTATCAAGAACGGAATTTTTCCTATATAATTTAAAGGAGCAAAACCTTTGCAACTTGAGCACCTGTATGTTGACCACTGAAATAAGTCAATTTTGTCTAGGAGTATTATTAAATTCTATTCTAAAACCCTCATAAGTTGACCAGAGAAAAAAATCAGAAAATTTTCTGTCATTTTGCAATGTACGTTAAAATCTCCCTTGTCTGGTGAAATAGCGTTAAACCCTAATCTAAACCCTTTTGTGAGTTGATCATCTGGGGAAATTCTAGGGGGTCAGCTTTTGACCATTTCTTTCATTCATTCATTTGAAACAGGTGTGTTATTTGAAAAGTTGCTCCTCCAGTTCTTGCTAAAACAGCACAAAACAACAATGAGGGAATATTTTTGTAGCATATTGGTTTGTAAGTGTAGTAATAACAGAATAAATTTTAAAGTGTTCAAATAATTTTGTTTTGTTAAAGTTTTCAAATTACATGTTTTCGTGTTCTGATATTTTAAGAAATTATTTTTATTAAACACTTCACATGCATAACTAATGAAATAATTTTAAAAAAAAAGTTAGTTAAATATTAGAATTATGTATATGTAACAAATTGAAGTTTATTTAGGTTTAAACATATTCTATAAGATATTCATTTGGCTATTCGCTAAATAAAATTTTTAAGTCAAGTAAAAAATTTTTTTAAAATATATAGCAACATGGAAACGAAAAAGTGAACAATGACCCACCCCCTCTATAAGTTGTCCACTTGTCTAAGTTGACCACTAAAACAATGCACCACAAGTGGTCAACATACACGAGTTTTACTGTAGTAAGAAACCTCTAACATAACATAATGAAGTACATCAAAATTAAATAGTAGGAAAATTCAAATCTGGCAAAAAAAATAAAATAAAAAAAGAAGACAGATATGAGATAAAATGAATTTTTATTTTTCCATTCTTCAACAATAAAGAAGTCACTATAGATTGAATTAGAATTATATTCATTTTATATATTTTAAAGCTTCTTCTCAAAAGTATTGTTTGGAAAGGGAATCGTTGGTATATGTCCTCAGAAAAATCAGAAATCTCAAAAAGTTCTACTCCCTCTAATATTTGAGATAAAAAAAAATAAATCATGAGCTATTATCGATTTAAATTTAGCTAAACAAAAAACACGCATAAATTGTTTATAATAATCCCAATTTCAGATATTAAGCACATAGAATTTTTTTTCTCCACTTTCCTTCAAATGTGAAATTACTGTAAAATGTAGTATCCCAAATATTGGATGCCTAAAATGCCCCATGCAGTTAATAGAATATAAGTGTTGATATTTTATGCTGTTTCACTTTCCTAAATTTTTCCTAAGTATTGTTTAACCATTACAATACTGCTTCCGGTTGCTACAATGAATGTTTTTTGTGTAAGTAACGAGATTGGTAGAAGATGGAAAACTAAAACTACAGAAACTACTATTAGAATTACTAAAAAAAACAAACAATTATTATAATAACTAAAAAAAAAACTTTACAATCATAGTTTTTTTTGTTAAACATTTAGTGGTGGACATTTTTATAAAACCATATTCATAAATGATAATTTTATTATGCATTAGAAGAAAATACTTTACTGAATAACATATAATGAACTGATTAAGAAGAGTAACTTTGATTGGTAGAAGATGAGAAACTACTATTAAAATATTAAAAAAAGGGCAATTATTATAATGACTCGAAAAAAAAGATTTTTAAATTATAATTTTTTTTAAACATTTAGTGGTTGTGATATTTTCATAGAACCAGATTTATAAATGATAATTTTATTATGAATTAGAGAAAATACTTTACTGAATAGCATATAATGAACTGATTAAGAAGAGTAACTTTGATTGGTAGAAGATGGGAAACTACAGAAACTACTATTAAAATCTAAAAAAAGGGCAATTATTATAATACCTGGAATTTTTTTTTTAAAATTATATATTTTTTTAAACATTTAGTGGTTGGGACATTTTTATAGAACCATATTTATAAATGATGACTTTATGAATTAGAGAAAATACTTTACTGAATAGCGTAAATTGAACTGTTTAAGAAGAGTAACTTTGATTGGTAGAAGTTGGGAAACTACAGAAACTACTATTAAAATATTAAAAAAAGGGCAATTATTATAATGACTCGAAAAAAAGATTTTTAAATTAAAATTTTTTTTAAACATTTAGTGGTTGTGACATTTTCATAGAACCAGATTTATAAATGATAATTTTATTATGAATTAGAGAAAATACTTTACTGAATAGCATATAATGAACTGATTAAGAAGAGTAACTTTGATTAGTAGAAGATTGGAAACTACAGAAACTACTATTAAAATCTGAAAAAAAAAGTGCAATTATAATAATAACTCGAAAAAAAAATTTAAATTATAATTTTTTTCAAACATTTAGTGGTTGTGACAATTTTATAGAACCATATTTATAAATGATGACTTTATGAATTAGGGAAAATACTTTACTGAATAGCGTAAATTGAACTGATTAAGAAGAGTAACTTAGACTGGTAGAAGATGGGAAACTAATATTAAAATTACTAAAAAAAAGGCAATTATAAAAATAAAAAAAATTTGAAAATTATAAATGTATGAATTAGGAGAAAATTCTTTAATGAATAGCATATATTGAACTCAGTAAGAGATATTAAATATTTTTTTTTCACAAAAAATATTAAAATATACCTCTTTTCCATTTTCTCTTCCCTCTTGATTTCTTCTTCTTATTTCGTTCAGAATTTGGATGCAGTCTGTTATGTTTCTCGTGACCTTTTCGCTTTTTATATTTTCTTTTAACAAAGTAGACCACTGACATAAATAAATGCGGAATGAAATTTTAAAAAATCATAAAAATTACATAATGGAAAAATCATAAAAATTAAGTAGAAAATCATAAGCATTAAAGAAACAAATACAATGTGGGAAAACATAGCAATAGAAAGTTAGTACAACAAAGTATGTTTCAAAATTTTTCAAGTTTATTTTTCATTTTTTTTAATTGATTATAAGAGCATGATTTATACATAACATTAAGATTCTATTTGCCATTGAATCGTAAATGAGTGATTAACTTTTCATAGACCATATTGCCAAACACGACATTACTCATCTACGAACCATTGCGAATGCGAACTGAAAAAAGAAAAACAAAAATAATAACAAAGTCTTTCCTGATTAGCAAGATCCTGTGGTGGCATCATCAGTTATGGAAAAAAAAGCCAAAACAAAATGAATAAATATGAAATAATTATACATATATATGGTTTTTGTTGTTGTTGTAGTTAATTTACGTCACACTAAAGCTGCACTATGGGCTATTGGCGACGGTCTGGGAAAACATCCCTAAGGATGATCCGAAGACATGCCATCGCAATTTTGATCCTCTGCAGAGGGGATGGCAGTCCCGCTTCGGTAGCCCGACAACCTGCACGCAAAGTCGAGCACTTTACGGTAGATCAGTTTAACGAGGATCAAAACCACACGCCCTCGGTCTCTACGCAAACTGATCCAAGTGGTCACCTACCCGCACACTGACCGTAGCCAGTGATGCTTGATTTCGGTGATCTGCTGGGAACAGTGTCTTAGCTATCAGTCCATTGCGGGACATATGGTTTTTAAATAATAATATACTCAGTAACTAAATTTTTTTTTAAAGGAAGTACAGTATTTGCGACGATAAATTATTTATTTTTATTAGATTTTGAAATCACAATTCAGATTTTTTCCATAACTCTTTTCCAGCTATTTTTTATTTCATATATCATTGTACATTTTTATGCCTACTCGTTTATTTGTCATTTGAAACTGCTCTAGAGAGCGTAGCCAAATCTTTCAACAAAAAAATAAGGACCTTTTAAGTACTTTTTAAGCACTAAAATTTTTTTTAAAGCATTATATATGTTACCGTTAAAGTATATAATGCAGTTATTTCATAGAATACCTAGTTATTCCATGATATAACTGATCGTGTCCGTTAAAGTGTGTAATATGTTATTAATTTGACACTTTAAATAGAGAGTTTTATTTTAAATTCGATTTGTCCAAACGATGTTACANAAACAATTTATCTAAAATGAAATAACTAGGTATTCTATAAATAAACTAATGATAGACAATTAAAATGAAAAAGAAGCAATTTATCCAATTTATGCAGCGTATAAATGGTATTTATGGAAACGTACCATAAAATCATTTGTTACAACAAGGATTACTAAAATAACACTTGGAATTACAAAGAACTTTATTTCTAAGACAAAAACATTTTTTGTTTACACACTGGGTTTTACACGAAAATTTTTTAAATCCCTGACCAGTACCTAAACTTTGAGCTGTAGCAACCGATCGGAATGATATTTCTACATCCAGTACTTCTTCGATTTTAATTAATTTTTGTTCGCACACACTGAACTGGGATCGGGAATATAATTGTTTGATGCGGCCGTTACTTGTGCCCAATTGGAAAAACATTCATTGCAGTCAAAGTATTTTGTAATTGATCTTCGTTCATAATGCAGTAGGGGTGGTAGGTACATGTATTTGTCGTGCGAGATATATGATTTAGATTATTACACTTTAACGGGCTGCAGATCGTTATTCTATGAAATAACTAGTTAAACCAAGAAATACAAGAGAGTTTTACGATTTAACGGACACGATCAGTTATTTCATGGAATAACTAGGTATTCTATAAAATAACGGATTTCATACTTTAACGGTAACATATACATTAACAAAATACACAATAATTTTCAAAGACTTTACATGATCATGATAAAATAATTAGTTTCTGACAAAGAAATTTTTTCTTGATTATATTAGTCACTATAAAAAAAAAAGCGGAAGATTTCTTGGTTCGATTTCAGAAGGTGGAAAATGAAGTCTGAAATTGAGAATATCTTCCAAAATGCAGTAGAGTTACATGTGAGAGTGCTAGAATCTCACCGAACCCATCTCGGTAGAGGCACATGCGGACTCGCGAATATTTCATAAAAATATAAAACGACGGCCGCTTGCATACGCTTTGGACCGACGCTACGCTGAAATGGATTGTGAAAACGTTGAATAGAACAATGTCAAAACCACACTTATGCATAATACGTGGCGAAAATCGGCATGGTAAAGAAAAAGAAAAAAAATCTCATTTTCAAAAAGGGAGTATTAAGCACTTTTTAAAAACCTCCAATGAAAAAAAGCAACTTCCAGGGCTTTTAAAAAGCGAAAATAAGCACTTTTTAAAAACGCTACGCACCATCTATAAAATCAGCACTGAGCACTTCATATGTGAGACAAGCTGGTGTCCATTGGGATAAAGCTGAATGCGCTTTGAGCTAAAATCAAGAATAAGAGGTTTCCTCCGTTTTAAAGTTTTTATCAAACAAAATAATTTTAAAATTATTTTCTGTAACAAATAACAGTTTCATCAATTTCGTTTTATTGAACGTTATTGCTTGTTGTTGTTGTTCATTTACGTCGCACTAGAGCTGCACAATGGGCTACTGACGATGGTCTGGGAAACATCCCTGAGGATCATCCGAAGACATGCCATCACAATTTTGATCCTCTGCAGAGGGGATGGCACCCCCGCTTCGGTAGTCCGACGACCTGCACGCGAAGTCGAGCACTTTACGATAGAACAGTTTAACGAGGACCAATACCGCACACCCTCGGTCCCTACGCAGGCTGATCCAAGTGGTCACCCACCCGCACACTGACCGCAGCCAGTGATGTTTGACTTCGGTGATCTGCTGGGAACCGTGTCTTAACGATCAATCCACTGTGGGATGACAGTCCACCGTTTGATGAATGAGATAAATAATTGTTTTAATTATTTTCTTTATTATAAATATTTTGGAAATAAAATGATTAGAAAGTTGAAGCATACCGGTTTTTGAACTCTTTCTAGTTTTCGTGCTAATAGTCCAGCTTGCATCAATCCAGTATTTTTTTCTATACTTCCTTTTCTCTTTATATACCTCTGTGGTTTGCTGAGAATTTTCATGAGTTTCACAAATTATTGTTTCTGTACCATCAACTTTCTCTAAACTATGTCCTCCGACATTTGATTGTTCACTCTTTTCATCTAAAAAAAAAGGTTTAAAATATTTAAATTTAGGCTCTATTGCATGCATCAAAACTAAATAATATTAAAATTGTCAATATCAAGTTTCTACTATGGTAGCATTTTTTAATAAAGTGCTACAATGAAACAAGACATTTTTGACAAAGTATTTTACCTGATTCTTTAAAGAACAAAAAAAAGAAAAAAAAAATTCAAGAAAAAATCAAGATAAGAATAGCTGAAAATAAATAATATAAAATTCTTTTGAAAATTATTATAATGTATGTATTCTAATGTATTCCTAATGTATAATATATTAAATAATAAAAATAAAACAAAAAAATAATAAAATTATTATAATATTAAATTATTATCCTAACTATGTAGGCATGGGAAAATACTTATCAAACAAAATAAAAAACGTCAAAACTGACCTCAGGAGTCTGTCTAGGTTTCTTTTTTAAGAGGTACCTACCAATTTTGTAAAAATTTAGACATAATTTGTGCAAATTAAAAATTACGTTAACAAATCAACACAAAAATATGATAAAATACGAAAATATTTTCAAAAATTTTCACTACAAATATAAATCATATATGACTGGTAAATTTCTATATATATTATTCCCATACGTTAAAAAACAATTTTGCTATCGTAAAATTTTGGGCTTAAAATTGTATTCAAATTTAAAAATTCATAAAAATCATTGTCCATTGTTAAATTTCAACTTGAATTTAATAGAAACATACACTTAATGGTAATGGCACTGCAAGTTATCTTCATTATGAGAATATTTTCGACTTGGTCATACAGAAAAAAGTTTAACAGAGAAAAAAAAATTTCATTAAAAAATAAATAAATAAAAGTCTATTAGAATAAATTTAGAACAATGCTTAAAAGTAATTTTCGTACAAATCGGGTGGGAAGCGAATTCTTCTACTTCGTCAAAATAGAAAACCAGGGGTGGGTTCCATTGCAAATCGAAATGAGTAATTAACTCCAGGTTTAATGTTTTTATGGGGAAACAACAACAAAATTTTAAAAGGCAGGGGGCGGGGGAGGAGAATTTTAGAACTTCCTTTTTTAAAAATATTTTGTGAAACTACCGTTTTCCTTAAGTTGAATTTGTGAAGGTACCGCTAAACGGTAGTAAATTTGCCCTGAACAGATCCTTGGACCTACAAACAAATATAATGAAAATAAAAAGAAAAAATACGAAACTTATAGTTTTATATCTGCATACAAATCTAGTTAGATTTCAAAAACGTATGCAAATGAAACACATTAATGCTTCCTATTCATAGTTCAACTTTTTTTGCTATAAAGAACTTCTGATTGCAGCTTAAACCCTGATATCAAGCCATCATAAATGTGAAATATTATTACACTTGGAGGCTTCGCCCCCTGCTCGCTCGCCAACCCTATAAAAACATAACTTTACACTTCTAAGTTAGAGCCATCAATAGTTTGCACATGTAATTTAGATAATAAACGATAGTATAAAAGTTGAAGAAAAAAAGTTAGAAAACAGTAATTTGTTTTCAGAAATGATTTTTAAAAAAAATTATTTATTTCATTTTTCTGGGATTTCTACAGAAGAATATTTAAAGGGTGCTGCAAATTTTAGAGACTGTTCTGCACACACACATTCACTGCAATCCTTAAAATTTGTCTTCATCCACACAAATTCTTAAAATGTGCCGTCGAATATTAGAAGTGGTACAAAATAAATTATAATACTTTTTTTTATTACGAGTAAAGTCTAACTGAAAGAAAAGTGTGTGTCTATATATATATATATATATATAACAAAATGAAAATGAATAAATACAAGAAAACACGAAGAAAGTTAAGAAAAACAATAAGTTTCATTTATTGCGCATAAGCTGCAAGTAAACAGAACTCATTAGATAAGTTCAAAAAGAAGATAAAACAAAGAAAAATTATAGTCATATGAAAAAGGGCTGGGGGAGATAATAATTAAAAAAACAACAAACAACTGATTGAAAAAAAAAAGGATGAAATTTTATTTAAAAAAAAACCGGAAAAAAAAGATATAATCTTTTCATCAGCCCACACGATTATATCCTCTGTTTTGAGGATATAATCGTGTGGGCTGATGGAAAGATTATATATATATATATTTTCCCCCCCGTTTTTTCTTAAATAAAATTTCATCCTTTTTTTTTGAAATTATTATCTCCCCCTCCTCCTTTTTCATATTACTATAATTTTTCTTTGTTTTAAGTATATATATATAAGTTCAAAATGAAGATAATGAAATGAATATCTTCATTTTGAAATATTAAGTTTCATTCATCAAATGAAACTTATTGTTTTTCTTTTTTTTTTAAACTTTCTTCGTATTTTCTTGTATTTATTAATTTTGTTGTATATATACAGTGGTGGCCAAAAGAGCCTTCCATCAGAGATCTCTTCCCCAACAACGCACCATTTATTTTTCAGCAGGATTCAGCTCCATGCCACACAGCAAAAGTATGCAAAGCATGGTTTCAAAATAAAGGCATACATATATTACCATGGCCAGGAAACAGCTCTGATCTCAATCCAATTGAAAATTTGTGGCGACGTTTGAAAATTCTTGTACCAAAAAAACGTCCATCCAATAAAAGACAACT